ATACATATACATACATATACATACATATACATATATACTGGTTATAACCTCAATCAGATCCTGCTGAATTTAAACTTCATCGATCCTCTAGATTTATATTTACTTTAACCTGGAATAAAACATTTAAGATGAAATGAATACTGATGTTCAACATGAAACACACCACTGCTGTTACAAGACGAACTGATACAGCTACTAGTAAGACTTTAACGTCAGTCTGAGAGTTCAAAGTATTTTGATTTAATTTAGTTTAAGAGTTCCTGATGAGACAGTTTACATCTCGCTGCTGAATAAAACATTGAGTTAAATAACTTTAATTATAAATATTTTAGACGTCAAATAACTAATTATAAAAGTTTAGACGTCTTACCTTGAAGTGAACCCGCAGGTTGGAGCCCCTCGACTTGCATGCTGCAATAAAACATAATGCAGAAGAAGAAGCTTTAGAACCAGACTGCAGCTCTTTACACATTTAAACACTCAGCAGCTCACATCGTTCATTGAGGTATTTTCAGGTTTATTACAAAGGTGTCCTAAGATGCTAACTGCTAACAGAAGCTAACATTTAAGAAACTAACTGCCAACACACGTTACTCACATTTAGTCGGGTTCTCCGGGTCGAGAGAGTAGCGGACCATCTTCAGATATCTGGAGGATCAGAGACATTTTGATTCATTTAAATAACTATAAAAACTACATATAGTCTCTTCATGACTGCTGTTAGCATTAGCTCTTGTTAGCTTAAAGTTCGGCACCGATAACATCCAAAAGCAGCTCGAGAATTAAGCAGAAACTACAGGAAACGTTAAACACATGAAACAGAAATGAGCGTTTCTAGACTGGAGTTTGGTACAGTTACGGATCCAACATGGCGGGCAGCTAACGTGATAGCCTCCAAACCGGCATCCTCACAAATATCACATTACAACTTAATTCCCGCCGTCAAACACAGAAATCTAACATCGTCTGAGATGTTTGAATGTTGTTAACTAAACGTAGCGAGTTAAAAACTCAGGATGGTGAAGATGTAGTTAAGATTTAACGTAGATTCTAGTCTTCGTGAGAGGGACAGTTCTCCTACCTCTGAGGCCGCGGAGGGAAGAGGAAGAGCCGGAAGCAGCGCTGCTCCTCTTCTTCATCTCTCCGGTGCACCGCCCCCTGGTGGTCAGGAGGAGGAGGTGCACCAGAGAGCAGTGAGTCCGTCCGGACAGCAGGGGGCGATGTTCCACACGTCATAGCTCACCTGTTCTTACCTAAACAACATCCGGGACTCTTTGTCAGCGGTGGGACGGAACTAAGTACATTTATACTGTGTTTAAGTACAGTTGAGAGGTACTTGTAATTTACTTGAGTATTTTCCTACTTAGTAAATGTTGTACTTTTTACTACATTTATCTGACAACTTTAGTTACTTTAAGGATTCAGATTAATAATAATAATAATAATAATAATAACAATGATGATGATGTGTTATTACAGATTAAACTACCAGCAGTATATAAAGTATTTTAAAATGAGCTTGACCTTTAAAGTGATGAACACATTAATGTGATAATAATTATAATATATATTATTCTGCATCACGAGTACTTTTACTTCTAATAATATCTGTGTACTACTTCCACCCTGCTACCTTTAACAAATAGTGTAATATGCAATAAACAAGCACATCACAGGATGTTATTTTATTTCATTAAATGTTTCTCAATTCTTCTTGTATTTTATTGTTTGTTTTATTTTTCCGCTTTTATTTTCCTTAAAATACTAAAAATATTAGTCGTACTACGAACAACAACAACAACAACAATAATAATAATTATAATTATTGAGTATAACTTTCAGAAGTAACTGGTACTATGAACTGTCCTTTAACTCGAGGTCTCCTTACTAGAGCTCTTCCTGGCTCTCAGCTGTATCCTCTGGTCTTCATCAGCTGATGGAGTCATGAAGAGTGAAGAAAACATTTATATTTAAAAGCTAATGAAGCCTGTAGCTGTGACTCAATAATCTGTGTACAGTATTTATATATTACTCTTTAAAGTATGACGTTGTCGTTAACCAGAAATATTCAAAGTGCTTATGAATGTAATTTATCATAATTCATGACATCAGAAGTAAAACCATTAGTGAATCAACATAAAAGTCATTTTAAAATATGCTTTAAATATTGTTTTAAGTTTTCAAAATGTCTCGTTTCCTCTTTTTCTCGGTTTGATGTCAAAATAAGATGAATATATTTTAGACTTTTATTAAAACAAACCTCAGACTTTGTGACATTTAAACAGAAGTTGAAGTGAGAAACGAAGCTGCAGATAATAAGAACAATCGTAACTATCAGCTGTTGAATGTCTCCTGATGATGAACCACACGCACTCTCAGGTACTAAAGCAGTCGTCGGTTTATTTGGTTCACTTCCGGTCGGGCTACATAGAAAAGCTGCGGACGTTCTCAGTGACTCATGCTCAACACCAGAGAACATACAAAAATAAAGATATTATTTACACGTGAAAAACTTCCACACGAGAGTCTGAAGCCAAACTAACACCTGGACCTCCTCCTCCTCCTCCTCCTCCTCTTCCTCCCTCTGGGTCACTTAGCATCTGGTTAGCTTAGCCTCGCTAACCGTTAGCAGTCTGATTCTGTATAATGAAGCTGAATAAACCAAATCATAACAAAGAAGAAATATTGAACAAATAGTGGGAAATATAGTTAAACAAATAAAAGCAAAGCAGGCGAGATGTGTTGGTTTATTTCATTTCTCCTATTTAGATTTTCTTTATCATTATTTTGTATATTTTTGAGGTACTTGTACTGTACTTGAGTATTTTCTACTTCTCCTTTACTACATCTCAGAGTAAATATCTAAAAACATTCAGATTATTAATCCACTAATAAATGATTTATTATTACAGATTATATTAAGTCATTAAAATGAGTTTCACCTTTAAAGTGATGAAAACACATTAATGCATAAAACATTTATATATTCTATTCTGATATATATTATTCTTCATTCCGTGTACTTTTACTTTTGGTACTTTCAGTATATTTTACTTGTAACAGAGTATTTCTACACTGGTAGTAGTATTTTTGCAGTAAAACATGTCTGGTAAACAAATAATATAATAACTCATATCATCTACTGCAGCAGCAATAACTCTGAATCATTTTATTATTTATGCATTTAAATATGAATTATTAAAATGTGTCAGATATGACGTGTTGAGTAGAACCAGGCTAGCAGATTCCATCCAGTCTTTATGCTAAGCTAAGCTAAGTGGCTGCTGGCTGTAGACGTGACTCTCAGAGGAAGAGAAGAAGAAGGCAAATATATATTTACACGTGTGAATCCTCTTCAATCAGACGTATTTTCATGCATTCAAACATTTACACACATCGCAGAATATTTTGAGTCCAGAAGAAATCAGAGGTGAGACGTGGCAGAAATGTGACTCACAATAAAAAGACGTTTTGTCCTCAACGTCTTTTAGAGAGAGAGACGTTTTACGTCAGCAAAGAGACATTTGATGCTACAGTTTGTGCTCATCAAGCTCCTTAAACACAGTTCAATGTCCACATGATGAGACATTAAGACGTTGGAGACATCAAGGCATCGGAGACGTCAGAGACATCGGAGAAATCGGAGACGTCGGAGACATCAGAGACATCGGAGACATCGGAGACTTCAGAGACGTCGGAGATATCAGAGACGTCGGAGACATCGGAGACTTCAGAGACGTCGGAGACATCAGAGACATCGGAGACTTCAGAGACGTCGGAGATATCAGAGACGTCGGAGACATCGGAGGAATCGGAGACATCGGAGA